AACGTACGGGCGTGACGATCGAGGGGGTCGTTCCACATATTGCAACCGGACCGCGAACCTGGACGTCTCTCTGGGCCAAGCTATTCGGTGAGCATGACAGGCCCAAGTCTCCGGGTAAGTGAAGTGGTCGATAGTGGTTATGAAGACTTCTAGCTGACCGCGTCTTCGCAGAGTTCCGAGACCCTTATCAACAGGGTTGCAAAACGTCATAAGAGAGATGCTTGGAAATATGGGAGCATCGAGTCGGAGTCCATCCGCGGGGGCCAAGGACAGATAGTAGCCACGAGAGAGGAGTTTTGGATGTTACAGTGGTAGCATAGCTGTTGCCTTCTCTCGGCAGGAAAACAACAAATGAACAGTTAAAAAGTACACGCAAGCCGAATACCTACGTCTCGTGAAACGAAGAATTATTCTTAGACGACATTTGGAGAAACATCCGATTCCTCTGTCCAGACCTACCATCTCTGTGCCAGTCCTTCCAAATCCCAGACACTCAAAAGACTAACCCCAAGCCCTCCCGCCATAGACTCCAAACGAACAGTGTCGGTCAAACGTAGCACTCACTCACTTCCAAGTGCTCGAATCGCCGGAGCCGCCGAGGTTACTCGAGCTACCAGCCCCGCTGGTGCTGCCCGAGGTGCGAAAGGTGCTACCGCTCCCAGCGGTCGCAGACGAGGTGCCGCTGCTCCGCGAGTTGTACACCGCGATGCTGATGTATGTGTTGTTGCTGTTGCTGTTGTAGCTGTAGCTAGCCGGAGCCTCAGCTACGCCTCCGTTACCCTCGGTGCCACAAGTGTTCCCATCTGGGTTGCCGCGGTTGGCTGGAGTGTCTACCGCGCTTCCTCCACTGTCGTTGCCGGAGGCGTACCCGTCGGGCTCGTTGCGGGTGGGTGGTGGGGTGTAGACGGCGCCGCCTTGGCCGTCGTTGTAGTAGGTGCTGCCGTTGGGGTTGGAGTAGTAGTACGAGCCGTCCCTTGGTTTCTTTTTTAGCTTTCCGTTGTTCCGTAGACGTTGATTTGTGTGACAGACAATGTCTCGAGGATCAAGAGATGAGTGACTGCTTACCTGTTGGAGTAGTGGTACGCATTCTGGTTGGCGGCGCTAGGCCCGTAGTCTCTGGTGCAGTAGTGGTTCCCCTGTCATGTCAATATCGGTCAGATACTGGCTCAGTGTTGTTAGATGGGCGTCCTGCTCTTACATCTCGGTTGGTGCCGTAGCTGGTGTAGGTGAAGTCTTTGCCCGACATATCGTCTGCTCGTAGGGGGCAAAGATGTGGGATTGATGTGTCGAACACCAAGCGAGTGCTCAAAGATAGTGGACCAATGGGAATGTTGACGAAGTTGACGAAGGGAAAGGACAGGTTGGGCTCCGCTGAGGACGAGGCTCTTATCAGAGCGAACCCAAGACGCCCAGAACAAGCTTTCTTCAGAGCTTGAGCTCAAACTCATTCCACTCGTCCTTCGGGTCTGAGAGTACCGGGGCTGCATATGCCATGTATCAGGTGACTGGGGACCAAACGTCCGATGTACAAATAACGTCGCATAGCTCTGAACTGGAGTTAGCTGTGCTTGCATGTATCTCAGCATGTCACTTGTGAGAGAGCCCACTGTTGATAGCAGAAGAACACGACCAGCAGCCGTAGAAACAGATCACATCACCCTTCGCTAGGAAAAGGAATGACCCTCTCAGAGATGGGAGGCTGATCCATTGCTCTGTCCAAATGCTACGTTCTAGCTAGGACCTGGAGACGGCGAGACACTCCCTCAAAGCAGACAGATTGCCTTCCTCCCAAGCATCGAGTCCCCTCCCAGAATGGTGCTCCCAGCCATGGAGTCCGCCATAGCACTGTTTCCCATTACCAATTACTTCTGCGAGCCCGAGCTACCAGAGGCGCTGCTGCCGCTTCCCGAGCCCGAGGAAGAGTTACCTCCACTGGGCGGGGTGTAGGTCGCATTGCCGGCACCGTCATTGTGGTAGGTGCTTCCGTTGGGGTTGGAATAGTAGTACGAGCCGTCGCTGCGAAAAGTTAGTTAAGGTACCCGTACTGGCGAGGATTGTAACGGGCGATGAAGGTGCTGGGCAAGCGTGCGATGGACTACTTACGTATTGGAGTAGTGGTACGAATTGGAGTTGGAGGCACCGCTGCCGTAGTCTCTGGCACAGTAGTGGTTGCCCTGCGGTGCCCAATCAGCTACAGTCCGGGTTGGTTCGTGGTTCGAGTACCTACCTGGCTGTTGGTGCCGGAGCTCTTGTAGGAGTATCCGTTGCCCGACATCTTGTCTGTTTGGTGAAGGATGAGAGTAAGTTGTAGTGGTGGACGGTGATAGCAAGGCGGAGTGACCGGTCGTTCCAGGAAGTGGTGAACCAACCGAGATGTTGAAGAAGGGAAGAAGAAGCACGGACGTTGCTGGGGCAGAAGAGCTTATCTAGGTATAAGCCTAGCAGGCGGGGAAGGAGAACTCCGGGGCTTTGCGTTAGACTTAATTCACTTGACAAAGGAAAGGTGGGAGAAATGGGGTGACGCCATCAGGTGAATTGGCAAACGCAATTGTCTCGAAGATACCCAAACTTGGGTCAAACGGCATGACGCTCGTCTATATGCATTGGTGCTAAATCTTGTCTATCAAGGAAGAACGCTGCTCTAGAGGTTGCCCTTCTTGGCATCTACCTCCGATTGCGGAAGGTCCTCAAGGTCCTCAAGGTATTTCTCGGCTTCAAGGGCAGCCATGCATCCAGATCCTACGAAATAGTCAGCAACATGCTTGGTTGATGGGGGGGGGGGGGGGGGGGGGGGGGGGGGGGGGGGGGGGGGGGTTGAGGGTAACTTACCTGCACTGGTGATAGCCTGCCTGTACCGCTTGTCTTGGACGTCACCAGCAGCAAACACACCCTCAACGCTCGTGAGTGTGGTGCCAGGCTTGGTCAAGATGTATCCGTCCGCGTCCGTGTCGACCTGTCCACGAACAAGGGAAGTCGCAGGCTCGTGGCCGATAGCGTAAAACAGGCCGTTTGCCTCCAGCGTCTCCACCTCTCCCGTCACGACATTCTTGATAACCATTTGGCTCATCAGCCCCTTATCGTCGCCCTTGACTTCCACGCCGACACTGTTGAACCGGACGGTAACCTTTGGGCTGCTGAGTAACCTCTTCGCCATAATGGTGCTAGCCCTCAGCTTGTCTTTCCGAACAAGCACGGTAACGTGGCTGCCGTACTTGGTCAGGAACATAGCCTCCTCTGCTGCCGAATCACCTCCACCAATGACGACCAGCGGCTTGTTGCGGTAGATTGGCACGGCACCGTCGCACACGGCGCAGGCCGAGATACCGTTCTGCCAGTACTTCTCCTCGCCAGGTAGGCCTAATCTTCTTGCGGATGCGCCGGTGGCAATGATGACGGCGTCGGCCGTGTGCTCCTCCTCCGGGCTCCACTCAGTCGAGTACTTGAAGGGTCGCGAGGAGACGTCGAGCTTCGCGATCGTCTCGGATATGATTTCGGTGCCGAAGCGCTCGGACTGCTTGCGCATGCGCTCCATGAGCTCCTGGCCCATAATGCCGTCGGGGAAGCCCGGAAAGTTCTCGACTTCGGTTGTGGTTGTGAGCTGGCCGCCGGCGGCGATGCCGTTGGCCATGAAGCCCTCGTACAGGACGGCTGGAGCGGAAAGGACTGTCAGCTTGTGCGGGAGGGTCTGGGGCGTGGATGCTGCTTACGCTTTATTTCGGCGCGCGCGAGGTAGACGGCCGCCGTGTGGGCGGCCGGGCCGGAGCCGATGATAACGATCTTGCTATGCATGCTTCTCTTTCCGATAGACTGTAGCTCGCTGGGGCGGGATGTGTTTTGCTTGAATGCGGTTGCTATCGCGGCAAGCGAGAGACCAGATGCGCCGGCGCGGAGGGTGTGTCTGAACTTTGAGGAAAACAGCGTGGCGGTGTTGTGATGGCAACAGTTGCAAGAAGAGACGGTCAGCTTTCTTAAAAATGGATAAGAGGCAAGAGTGGGATTTCTAATCGTTTCTGGCGCGACTGTGGAGGACAGCGATTCCAAATTTTGGATCGGAGCGCCATCGCAGACAATCGGGGACCGCCGTCGAACATTTCCAGAGATCCGCTGCAGGGATGTGAGACCGGGAGCCCTGCATTACCCTGGCTGAGTCAGCTGTCAGGCCTCGGCTGTCAGGTGTCAAGTCCGCGCGATCACCGGCCGACGTCCGACGACACCAAGGACCAAGGGTGCAATGCTTCGGACAGCCCGCTTCATGTCCCCTTTATATCCAAAAGAGGTCCACTGGTACGCTGTATCATGGACGTTTCCTCCGGCTGCCACCTGAGGAGAACTAAACCTTGAAGCCTCCGTTCTCGCTTCTGCTTCTTCCTCCCATCACACTCACGCCACAACACCCGCGGTGGACCACCATGTGGCACATCCTCCGGGATCATCCAGGTCCGTGAATGGAGACTGCACGAGTCATGGTTACCAACAACCTCCTCCCTGCCTTCATATGGCGCGCCGCCCGCCGCCGACTCCATCGGAGCATATGGCTTCCATCTGCGTCGTGGCCCGCTTGGCTCAGTGGTAGAGCGTATCACTAGTAATGATAAGGTCATCAGTTCGATTCTGATAGTGGGCAAGCTCCTCGCTTCCAACCTTTTTTGCAGGTTGCAGCGCTTTTGTATGTGGTAGTTTGCTTTATCTCGCGGCACCAATGCGTATGTCAATATCAACACATGTTTTTGCAGTTGGGCGGAAGCTAGTGCTCATGAAGGACTGTACAAATTAAAAGAAAAGACAACTGTCATTTGCAATACGTCAAGTCCACGCTAGTAGGCCATTGACTCTTGTCGACAAGCTAGAGAGAGATAACACATTGCCGATTGGAAATACCAAGATACACAAAGCCTCCAGTTGCTGTCTACTGTGGTATGCCATCTTACAATTGATGGCATGACGGAAGCTCCTTGGGATACGAAACACCAAGCAAAAGTGGCAAAAAGCAAAATCATATATGAGAAGAGTGGGATTCGAACCCACGCCCCTTTCGAGACTACGAGTCTTGATCTGAAATCAGAACCTGAACGTAGCGCCTTAGACCGCTCGGCCATCTTCCCGTTTTGTGAATATGTTCCTTCGGGCTCTAATTGCGGCCCGTAGCTACCTGGAAAGCAGCCTGGTCCAAGCTCGACGTCTCAGTGCGAGCTTTCCCCACGTAATCTGTCTTGGCGCGGATCTGCCAGGAACAAGTGTTCTTTGGACCACGCAACCTTCAGCCTTGTCTCCAACGATTACCGTTGTTGCACCTCCCACAACAACGCAACAACAACACCGCAGCAATCATGCATTTCTCCAAGTCGCTCCTTTCCGCAGCTCTGCTTTTGGCAGCCGGTGTTGCTGAGGCAGCATCATCCTGGAGCTTTGACGACGCAACTGTCGCCGTTGTCTCCAAGAAAGCCGGCGACGGACTGAAGGAGAAGTAAGCTGTCCTCTGTCGATTGCGCTTTCCATTTGATAGCTGACCCTACCTCTACCTAGGCTCAACGCGAAGAAGCCCCTCTCGAAGCCGGTCACTATCGGCAGCTCGGACACCATCAAGATCACCCTCACCGCGAAGGACAATGGCAGCGGAAAGCGCCCGCACCAGGCCTTTGTAGTTCTCAAGGACGTCGACTCCGGCCTCGAGGCACCATTCCCTCTAACGACCAAGGACACCGGCAAGGCAGTCGGCCAGATTGTTCGTGTCACCGTCCTCACCACACCACTCGCTCTCCCAAGCTAACCTAACCACCCGCAGTCCCAAAAGGAAATCCCCGTCCAGCTGCTCCTCGCAACGAAGCCCCTCCAAGCCTCCATCGTCATCGGCTCTTTCGGCTCCGCACACGGCCTGAACACGCACCTCTTCGACCTCACCGTCCAGCTCGACCCTAACGCGCCGGCGCCCTCGACCGAGAAGACCCTCCGCTACGCCAAGCAGCCTGAGATCCATCACATCTTCAAGGCCGACCCCAAGAACCCTCCCAAGATCATCTCCCTGGTCTTTGCGCTGGCCGTCGTGGCTACCGTGCCGGCCCTGTTCCTCGGCGTAAGTGCCATCACCAGGAAACCCTTCTCGTGTGCGCAATGGTAGACTGACCTGTGTGTAATCCAGTGGTTCTCTCTCGGCGCCAACCTCGACCACCTCACGACAGCCCTCGGAAAGGCGCCCCTGTCTCACACTGCCTTCCTCGGCTCCATTGTGGCTATGGAGTTTGTCTTCTTTCTCTACTACAGCACCTGGAACCTCTTCCAGGTCCTGCCCGTCGTCGGCCTCGTCGGAGCAGTCACTGTCCTCAGCGGAACCAAGGCTCTGGGAGAGGTACAGGCCAGGCGGCTGGCTGGGCAGCGGTAGGATGCCCAAGAGGCGACAGGGATACACTCAGCTGGCCGATTGATCCTAGTTGCGAGGCGGAGTGGAAGCAAAACGGTGCGGTTGGTGCTACTACATGCAGGCGGAGTCTTCTGTATATTACTGAACGCCTTCGAGGAACATGGCTGGCAAAAAGGAATGCAAAATGGTATCATTACACACTGCTGGTGCTATACAAAGGCCTCGTTCCTGGGTCGTGACACTACTCCGTCGTCTATGGTCTAATCGCCAGTTCATCGTACAGCCGGCCATTTCCAGGCCGGGCAAAGGGTCTATCCTTCGACGATCTATCCTAAGCGTATGCAAAAAAGTCATTACCATCACCTCAACTCCATCTCTTCGTCAGGCCGGTCGGGCTTCCCCCGGTCCAGCCGGCGATATCCCCTCCGGATGCGCCACAGTCGCCGCGCCAGCTTGAGCGCGAGAAAGCCCAAGCCCCAGATACCCCCCAGAACCAAACCAACGTACAGCAGCATCAAGACGACGTGGTCGCCAATCCACTTGAACAACCCATTATCCCACTGATTCCAGGTCCCGCCCCGGCCATGGGTGAAGAACACCCACCTCGCCGCCGCGGGATCCATATCCATCATGACCCTCGTGAGCGGCGGCTCGGCGGCCGGCTTGCGGCGGTGGTACTCCTCCCAGACGGCCGTCTCGAACCACTGTCCCGTGCCGTAGCTGACGGCCAGGTACGGCAGGGGGTAGTGCCACGCGTAGCCGATCATGGAGTCGGTCAGCAGCCGCCAGAAGGGGTGTCCCGGCGCGGCGCCGAGGATGTTGTTGCTGAGCGCCCCCTTGCCGCCGTCCGTCACCCAGGCCGGGTAGTAGAGCAGCGGCTCGAGCGAGGTGGCGCAGCCGTTGTCGAGGTCGAGGTAGATCCCTCCATCGTGGAGCATGAGGAAGTACCGGAGGGCGTCGATGCGCTGGACGGGGTAGGTGAAGCCGTCGTAGGTGGGCAGGAACCAGGGGTATTCGGCCGCGATGAAGGCGCGGGAAGTGGTGGTGGTCCAGAGCTTGTAGTCCCACCCTGGATTGAGGGTTATGCAGGTCTGTCGACCGGCCTCCCAGTCGGACGGGAGGGTGTCGTTGGTGGGATCCGCCCAGTTGTGGAAGATTTGGTGGATTAGTTTGGGGATTACTTGGGGGCGCGGGTCGGGGGTGGTGCGGTTGTGGGCGAGCTCGACTTCTTCTTGGGTTAGGGCCACGCCGGAGTGGGACATGAAGATGTGCACGAAGAAGTAGACGCGTGTGGCGATGTAGCCGAGGAGGAGGCAGGTGGTGAACAGGATCAGGGCGCCCGTGAGGCGCCGGGAGAGGAGGCCGCGCATGGCCCGTGTTTTGGTACACGGAATCGCGTCTGGAGGGTGAGTTAGGACGTTTATAGTCAACTATATATAGTCGGCACCATGGTCGCCTTCTTGAGGGCTGGACAGCCGCGAGGATGATCGATACGGTGTGGTGGTCGTCGTCGTTGTTATAGGAGATTATTCGGACAGTGGCTGACATCGGCGCCCCACTGTGAAAGCCAAATTGTTCTCCACAATTCGCATGCAACGCGGTTGGCATCTGGCGACATGCTGGAGCATCTTCCGCGTTGGCTTCGCCATTGAGATGATCAATATCTGTCACACGCAAGAGATAGTCACAAAGGCGAAGGAATTCGTTGACTCGACATGGCTCCAGAGGACTGCCTTCGAGAATCCCAAGATCAAGCTTGGTTTCTTTCTCCTTCCGTTCATTTGAACGACATATCTAGACGTATGTCTGATCGACGATAACATTTGGTCGAGCAAGTGGTCAACTATGTTAAGTGTGTTCTATGGGAAGATGCATGCATGCATGGTGCTGCCTGGCAGCCTTCTTGGAGGGAGACTCCAGCAGGGCGCGTTATGCCTATGTGACCAACGACTGAACGCCCGAGCTCAGCCTCACATCTGTCTGCCAAGAACCACACTCAATCCTTTCTCTCAACTGTTCGCTGCCCACATCTCACCGAGAACACGAAAGCTTGTGACCGCGTCTCATAATGACTCTATACGACGCAGACGGCTTACGGGTCGGAGACCGTCAGATTCGGCTTCTTACAGTCTCGTGGACTCCTCAGAGACATGATGTCTCCCTTATCGAGTGCAGCCTCAAGGTCGTTGACTTGGATCACCCACCAGAATACTACTGTCTATCATATACTTGGGGAGCCCCGGCCAAGTACGGTCCGTTAGGAAACAGCCTTGTTTGTCCAATTCTCTGCAATGGAGAGGTACTGCATGTAACGGAGAACCTCTACTGCTTCCTACGACGACTACGGGACCTGTCGACCCTCTGTCACAGGACGTTCTGGATTGACGCCATCTGCGTGAACCAGCAGGATAAGAAGGAACGGAGTGACCAAGTCAGGCTCATGGCTGATATTTACACCTCGGCTAGCATGGTCGTCTCCTGGCTGGGTGAGGAGGACAAGCATACCCAGCCAGGCTTTGTCTGGCTCAGGAAACTTAAAGCCGTCTCGGACCACTCCCCACACAATTTGAGCCGTTTAGCCAATTTTGCGTACGATCCTGAAGGAGACGGCGCGGACCTCTTCGCGTTATCCAGTCCAGACTCATGGTTATCCGTGGCCAACATTTTCCAGCGGACCTACTTCACCAGGGCCTGGATCATCCAAGAAGTCGTCTTGGCCAAGGCGGTGAAAGTGTTGTGTGGTCGTCAAGAAATTGAATGGTCTGCCATAGCCGAGGCTTCTCATTTCTTGTCGACGTCTCTCTGGCAATACTATTTGCGCAGGCTCTTCCTTGACAGGGGAGAGTTTCAACTCGGGACAGAAGAATTCCTTGGCACTCATACACTGTTTCGATACCAGGCTCCGTCAACTCTAAGATTGGCGAGCAAAGAGTACAACAAGCGCCAGCAGCACGCATACCAACATGCGAACCGTCGTGAGTGGGCAAAAAGTCTGCTGTATCTACTTATCAAGGCTCGCAGCTTCGAGGCCACAGATCCACGAGACAAGGTCTACTCCCTGCTTGGCCTTGTGCATGATTATGCGCGGTGCAAGCCAGGGCTGGCTCCTTCCTACAAAGCCGACGAGACTCAAGCTCCAGCCATTGCCTATATCAGGGCCGCGATCGACATCCTGGAAGACAGTGACGACCTACTACTTCTCTCGTGCGTTGAAGGAGAGGCATTCCAGAAGCTCAGTACTGGCCCGCTCCCGTCGTGGGTACCTGACTGGAGTGCTAGGGAGCCTACAGGGTTGCGCGTGACAGGGTACGAACGATACTCGACATCGATGAGCCTGAAGCAACAGGCCCATATCGACAAAACGTCGCTGACGCTGAGCTTAAGAGGCATCAAACTGGACTACGTTACAATGGTTGGCGAGGCGAAGCGAGACGTCCTCCTTGAGAAACCGTTTCCGAAGTGGCTCGAGATTATTGAAACGCTTGAGACTCGATACGGCCCAGCACGAAACGAACACAAGCTAGACGTCTTGTGGCGGACGCTGATAGTCAACACAGCGGGCTGCCCACCCGAGCTAGTTTCGAAGACTCGTTCGCTCGGCCCAGCATTTGCGAAATGGTTCCACGGAATGGTCGCTAATATCCGAGTCAGCAACCCTGGGGATGACGAGTGGAACAGCCGCGTGCTTCATTTCTTCCGACTGCTGAACAAGGTATGGAACGCTGAGTGCCGCGGCGCAGCTCAGGT